TTTTGTAGTCAAGTTAGTCAATTAGTCAGTTAAAGTGTGAAAAAACCAAACTTAGGAAAACTCGTCGACGTCGGTAGATGAAATATGTTTTGTATAGAATTCTTTCAATAGACGATAACATTTCAATTTTGACGGAACGAATTGATGGAATTTCTTGAAATTTGATACGAGTACTTAAGTTTTGCTTGTTACCCAAACTAACTGGCGAATTTCAGGGAATTCGGGTAGCACAAAGCAAAACTCTACTAAGAGCCAAATTTACATTTTTCTAGGTATGTTAACTATAAGCTTATTGTCCCGGAAATTGGAAAGAAGTATTTAACAGACATTTTTATGATATCTTGTAACACTTTCACTTAACTAGACAATACACTTTGTGGTCGGTTATGTGCTGACCACATCAGATTTGTTGTTTTATGTTTAAAGAGTTTAAAAAACAATGAATATTGCGATGAAATAATACAATTTAACATTAATTCAAGCATAAATTTAGAACAGAAAAATGGGAATCAAATTATAATGTAGAAACCGCAAAAGCAGTACTGCTACCTCTAAAATTTCAATTTAAAAAATATTTTGAAAAAGAAAATATTTTAAATGAAACTTTAGAAAGTATAAGAAAAAGTTCCGATAATCATATAACATTTATTCATAGTGGAAAAAAAGTTGAGAAATACGAAGATAATATATGCATTGAATATTTCCTATATTTGGACGATTTTCTACATAGTAATTCTTTAAGAAGACATTGTGAATCCATTTGTGGCTTACATTAGAGTTTCCCTCTTTCCAACAGGAAACCCAAATTACGAGACTTATTTTGTAAAATCTTTAGACATGAAGCTTTTTGGTAACTTCCACGATCTATGAAGCGAAGAAGTTTAAATAAAAACTACAAAAGGTCCTATAAAATCAATTTTATTTTAGGACTTATACTAGGTTACAATTTAGATATAAATTGTATTTACAACTTTAGCAAGCACTTTTCTGGCAAATATTTTTGTCGTTTCCGCAAGATGCATAAAAAACAAACTCAAAATTGATGAACGACATTTTCGAAGGCGTCTGTCATTATAATTTATGTCATAATTATACTATAAAACTACTAACAAAGAGTTTTCTCTTGAAGAATTAAATTTGAGAAAGCAAAATTTTAATTTTGGACCTTTACAAATAGATAGGTAATAATTCAGATCCCATACGCGTTAATCATCTGAAACGATTGAAGCTTAAAATGACGGTTAGCGAAATTAAATGTCTTTGAACTTTTTCCCACTTATGATCAGGCCCGGCTCGACCGTGGATGCAGAAGATGCACGGCGTCGGGGCGCCACTCTAAAAGGGTCTGAAAGGGCGGTAAAACCGAAAAGTGATATTCCACTTACTTAATTGTTTTTTGTAATTTTTTTTTTTTAAATCAAGTTTCCAATCCAAATTTTTTTTGAAAAAATTTTTGCTTCGCTCAAATTAAAAGACACACAAAAAAAAATGTAGTCGTAGTAGGCTTTTTTTTAAAGAATTTTTTTTTCGTTAAAAGCTTTTTGGTTTATAAATAATACAGACATTTTTCATTTTCGTTGCGATATTTTCAGTAAGAAAAAATAGTATTTTATTTAATTTAAATAAAATATAATTTGTTTTGTAAAATATTTAATTTTAATTAGACATTAAAGTGTAAAAAAAAAATGTAATTTGTTGGATAATGCCATTTTTGTAAGTATAGTGATTTTTATCAATTTTATATAGATTTCCAATTATCAAAATTTTCAAAAGAGAGATTCGAACTTCTAACTTCATGCCGAAAAGTTTCACTTTCTTATAAATTTTAATGAAATTTATAATTTGGGCGACGAAATAATGAAAAATAAATGTACCGATTTACAAACTGCATTAACTGATGGTGAAGAAATACACATAAACTCTTCTGAGTTATATAATGAACTTTTAATATTTAAAGATACCATAACACCGCAACTAAACAATTATGATCCCTTAAATATTTTAAACTTTATGTATATACAAATAATTTATTTGGGATATTTCCAAATTTAACAATGGCTTTGCGGATACTATTAACTCTACCAGTTTCTGTAGCAAGTGGCGAGAGGTCATTTTCTAAACTTAAATTAATTAAGATATATTTGCGATCAAATATTTCTCAAGAGAGACTAGTTGGGTTAGCATTGATTGCTATTGAAAACGATATCTGCGATGATCTAAACATTAATGATATTTTTGATGAATTTGCTGCGATAAAAGCAAGAAAAATAAATTTTTAAGCTAACTATCGTGCAATTGATTTTATGTGTAATTGATATCAGTTACAAATAAATGTTTAATATTAAATATTATACAATAATCAATATACTGTTTAATTTGCATTTGATTTTTTTGATATATTTTTTGATAAAGGGCGCAAAATAGAAACTTGCATCGGGGTTCTAGTACCGCTAGAGCCGGTGCTGCTTATGATAGGAAATCTAGTTCCGATCAATGATCCTGCATGCAAATCTTTTCTCAGATTTTTAAAACTGGTCGCCATTTTGTTGAGAGAAAGTTTCAGTAACAATGAAATTACTTTACTAAAGAAATTGATCGAACAACATAGTAATGCATATGTCAAACTTTTTGATGACAACGCAAAGCCAAATACAAAATTCTGAACCTGTAAAAAATACAGGTTAAAACCGTTAAAATTTACCGTTATCTAAAATCTGTTTTTTCCAAATTTTTGATGCCGTTTTTCTTTGAATTTGAGGCTGTAGGAACCTGAACAGGTTTAAGACACTAATAACGTATAAATAGTTCATTTCGTTTTTTATCACCCGTCGCAAGTTATCGCCGTTGGGAAATCTTATATTTCCGAAACGAAAGCTTTTGAAAATTTCTATAAATACAGAAAGCCAACGGTAAATTTTTTTTAAATGACAAAATTAACCCTTGAATTTGAGTGTTATTTTAACGCCTTTTTCATTTTTTTTTTTATTTTAAAAACTAAAAACATTGCTCAACCTAAACGTATGCAATTGTATATATAATTGAAAGAATAATTTTGATAATGTAGTGCATCGCTAGATTGTTTTTAAAAGCACTGTTTTCACTTGTTGAAGGGAAAAGTGCTACATTACAAACTATTGTATTGAATATTATTTTCATTACAATATAATGAAAATACGAGTAATATTCAATATGAGAAATGACATTTCAATAAAATCGTCAGCATAATAATCGAATAATATTCATATTGACGAAAATGGGATCTCTGAGGGATTTTGCCATTAAGAATAAAGTTTAATTGTAATGACGAAATTACGATTTAATTACTATGAAAAATTTTCATCTTATTGACGAAAAATGAGATGAAAAAGCTTCTATTCATTATGAAGAAATTTGCTTCCCATTGAATAAACTTACGATGACGAAACAAATCATCGTCTAAAAGAAAATGACGTAGACAGTCTTCAATATGACAACACTTTCGTCATCGGAAACATATTCTTTATTGAAGAACTGAATAACTACAGTTATTTGAACTACGATAATAGTTCAACAACAAAATTATAAAGAAAATACATAATATAGATAGGAATTTTTCAAAATTATATAAAAATCTACACCTATTATTATTACATAATATATTACACAAAATGTAGGCCATCATATTAACATGAACAACTTAATAGTCTAATATGGTTTGAAGGTGCTTTTGCTTAATATTATACTTTCTAATATATAAAAGATATTTTTGTGAACATATATTTAGAACTGTATTATAACTTTCATTTAACACAAAATTTTTACATCAAATTTTAAAAAAATTTTAGTTTGCAACGACTCAATAAAATATCGTACACAACTACAATAACTTTTTGTTGTTGCTATATCAAAATAGAAACAAATGATTGTATTATTAAATGTTATTTAATTCATATCACAAACGATTTCTTAATTTTATAAAAGAGAAAACGAAAAAAAAACATTAACCCTTCTAATATTCTCCTTCATATGATAATTGATGTAATACAACTGTTCAAAAAGTACAACTTCCCATGGAAATTTGCGTTTTTAAAATGAATTGTGTCTCTTTGTTACAAAACAATAAACAACTACTTAACATGCGAACAAATGAAACAAAAAAAAAATTTTATTGTTCAATTTTCTTTTTAGCACTTTTCTTAGCAAAAGCAATTCTTTTTTAGCAAAAAAAGAGCTTATTAGTTTCACTCTGTCCGTCCTTCGACGTGTTTACCTACACCCTTGAAGATAGAAAGCTGAAACTTATTTCTGTAGAAGAAAATTTTTACCTATCTCTCCCCCTCTAGAAGTTATACCCCCCCAAAACCCTAAAATTTCCATTTCTTAACCATTTATTGCAGTGAAACCATAAACATTTTCCAAATTTTGCAAACGCAGAAAGGCAGTGGCTTGCCTCCCCTAGCGCGCTATACTACAGCTTAACTTTAGAAAAACAAAATGGCCGTTCAAATTTACCGTTATCCAAAATCCGTTTTTTCCAAATTTAGGAGTTTTTAGACACCAATAAATAATTTATTTCGTTAGAAGAATTCTTTTTTACCTTCTCAACCCCCTCTCAAGTTATCGAATCTTGAAATTTGTAAAATTTTAATTTTTGACGCCTTATATTTCCGAAACCGCAAGCTTTTTCAAATTTCTATAAACACAAAAAGCTAACGGTAAATTCCATGACATTAAAAAAAATTTAATTATTTTTCCTAACTGATGCAATTAATCCTTAAAATTGAGAATTGTGTTAACCTCTCTTTATATTAATTTTTGCCTAATCCTAAAAATAGTCTCATTTATGAATAAACATAATTTTGATAATGTGGTAGGTAGACTGTATTTAAAAGCAGTATTTTCACTAATTGTTGAAGGGAAAAGTGCTACAATACAAACCATTGGTTTGATCCAACTTTATTTTATTCTTTTTCCACTGTTTCCTTTTTATGAATTGCATTATTAATGACATTAGTGCTCACCTGTTTTAATTTAATTTCCCTGCCAATTTGATGGGTTTGCATCATAACCGCAAATATGTTAATACCTTCACGTGGAAATGCATATCCTGTACAATCTTCAATACAATGTCCCTCAGAAACTACATGTTTTTGACCGGGTGGTATTATGTGTCTCCAGTTTGGATCCATTCCTTTAATTTTCAAAAGAAAAAGCAACTTTAAAAAATAAATCAAATAATCATTACTTAGAAAAACTGAACACGGAGTATGGAGGAAAATCAAAAAATGATAAATGAAAGAAAGGAACAAAAAACAAAATTATTTCTTTTTTTCTATTTTAAAAAAAAAAATATAACTTCGATGACGTTTAAATTTAAACAAAAATAAGTATTTTCAAGGATAATATCAAGGATAAAAGAATATCATGAAAAAATTCCAATTACAGTTTTAAAATATTAAAAAAAAAAACAAAAAAAATTAATTTCTGTTTTTACATTTTGCTCTTTCAAGTTTACCAGAAAAAAGAGGAAAAGAAAAGAAAGAGATGGATGATGAAAGAAAATTTTATTTTAATCTGACATGAAAATTGTTCTGCTTAAAATTAATAGGGTAAGGTGGAAACGAAGTTCATTAAACTAAAAATGAATTTTTCGAGTCGAGTAAAAGAAAAAAAAATTTTTCTTGATTCTCTATAGCTACTGGAATGTTCTTTTTTCAGCAATTTTTAGTAATTTTTTAACCAAATTCTCTTTTGTATATCGTTGAACGTAAATAAATCAGGAGTTAAATAAAATTAACGGTTTTAAATACGAAGAAAATCAACGAAAACTTTTATATTATGAAAGTGTAAAATAAAGTACCCGAAAGTAAAGGTGATACAAGTATAAATGAAATTAAAGTTTATGAGTTTATTTAAAAAAAATTAAGGACATTAAGTTTAAAGGATCAAAATTTGTTGATGAAGATTAATAAATCATTATTAAAACATAAATAAATAATTATAATGAATTTATGTTAAAATAAATTTTTCCAAATGAATAAAAAATTTATTCATTTTTTAAAATAGAAAATGCTTGAGGTTTGTAAACATTTCTGAATGTTTTTAAAACATTCTTTTCTGTTTCAACAAATTGAAATAAAATCAGGCTGTAAAGGCGTATCATAATATTTCGATAATCGACAAAATATTTACACAATACATAAGATTGTTTAAAAATAATGATAATTGAAGAAGGCAAACAATTTAACATTTGTTATCTTACCTATTGACAAGACACCCGCATCATGCAGCCTAAGTGAATGTGTAAAATAAATCCGTAATCCTGAATTATCAGCCATTTGCCTTGAATGTAATTGTGCAAAATCTGGTTTTGGATTGTAATAGTGTGTTTCCATAAGAAAATATTTAACAACTCTGGTCTCTATTGGATATCCTGCTTCGTCCGGAAATGTGAAACCCTAAAAGCAAAAGAATGAAAATTTTATTATTTTTTTTTCTAATATAAATGTACGTATTGAATGGGCTTTTAATGTACATACACAATTATTTTTAATGTAAAATATATGCACACTTATATTTATATGTGCTACTTTATTAAATTTGTGTTATATTTTATATTTTTGCATTCGGGCTCGTTGTTATTTTAACTGTAGAAGTTTTTTATTATTTTGTATAAAGTAATGAACCAAAAATTCACAGAAGAATTCACAGAATAAAACAAAAAAATTTAAATAGGTAGGCAAATTATAATTGTATATTTAAGAGAAGCCTGAGTGCCATTGGAGAAAATGGAATTTGCATAAAAGATTTTTGTCTCTCTCATTCATAAAATTAATAAATATAAAAGCATAAAAAAAAACAAAAACAACTTTTAAGTCCTCATGCATGTTTGAGATATTGTGTAATTAATGTGTAATGAGTTTCCGTTACTTTTTATTAAAAAACAAAGATTATTTTTAAAAAATTCTGCATTTCACCCTTTATGGACAATCCTTTGAAACAATAACCGCCAAAGAGTTTGTAAAAGGGAAAACCTACTAACTAACAAAAGCAAATAAATTAAAAAATTAATCTGAACTAACGACGGGGCAACTGAACTATTATTCACATTTTAAAATATTATATTTTTTTAATTACGGAAATTTTACCTAGGAATATGACTGTCAGTATGAGTCATCCTAATTCGTAATCAAACTTAAAATTATATCTAAACGTTAGTTAGATGAAAAATGAAAAAAACAATGCCATACATATCTATCAAAAAATGATGGTAAGCTGCAATTATTTTCCAAAGTAACTATTCCGGAGTAACAAATTTACAAAAACAATGGTAAGTTTTTATGTTCCGAAGTATTCCAATTTTGGTGTCTTATTTTTTACCGACCGTATTGTGAATAAGGTAGGTTATGTGATGCCAACAAATTTTGCATATCGCGCTTTGTATGGGAACGCACTTTTCCATGATAGGGAGATAATTAACTATTTTTAGCAACTTGTCCGTCTGTCGGCTTGTCGGTCTGTGTGTGCATACGTGTATCTCAGGTTAGGCTGAACCTTTTTTCATAAAATTTTAGTAAGTTTATTTCGATTATAACACGAATTGATCAACTTTTGGGATATATCAGGCCTCAGGAACTGCACTTTTTAGCGGACCTGCTCCACATTTTTTAACATTTTAAAAAAATATTCAACATACTTACTTGAAATTTCGTATGTAAGTTTCATTCGACCGACCGCAAACTTCCTAACTTTTGAAAGAAATCAGGCGTCAGCAACAGGACGTTTACTACGAGCCAAATATACATTTTTGAGTATATAAAGAGAAATAATCAACCGATTTCATTAAATTTAATTTTAACTTCATAAATTTAAATTCTTCATATTAAAAGAATGAATCTGTAAATTTTTTGGAAAGATCAGTGCTCGAAAACTGATCGGAGGGCCGATTTTACATTTTTTACCATATCTACGGAACGAATCGATGGAATTTCTTGAAATTTGATATTTGAGTTCTGGTTGATACCAAAACTAACTGGCGAGTATTTCATGGAATTATGTTAGCACAAAGCAAAACTCTACTTAGAGCCAAATATTTTTCTAGGCATGTAAACTATAAGCTTACTAATGCCCATAAAAATTGGAAAGAAGCTTTTAACAGGCATTTTTATAATATTCTGTAATACTTTCACTTAACTAGACCACTCTTGTTGGTTATGTGCTGACTACATCAGATTTTTTTTTTAATTTGCTTATTAAAGTTTTTTTCCTGTAATCTAGTAAACCTTTCCATTTAGAAAAATTCTCTGAGTCACAGAATTACAAAAAGATTTGTAATTGACTTCATTTTTTTAAACGCATCTTTTTAGCGAATTTACCAATCGATTTGATTTTTTTTTAATTTGAATGTGAAATGTTCAAATAATTTTTGGTTTTCATAAAAATTTGGAAATTCTTTTCGATTTACACTTTAAGTTTGGTAGCATTGGAAAATTAAATAATATCAATCTTTACTACTAATCAAGGACTACTTTTCAGTGAGATATTGACAGTAAAAAAAATGCTGCCTTGCTACAGTTAAACAACACATACGTTTAACATTAATTTTAAAATTAGAAAATGGCGCTCACATGATCTTACTTTCATGATGCTCACATGAAACGACTCAATCCAACTATTCATAGTTTTTATACTGCTCAGATAATTTGAAGATCTGGCTTAGATTGAGAGACAGTTATCGGCTTAACAATTTTTTATTTTGTTTGATTTATTTGTGTGGCAATTAATCTTTTATTAAAAGATTATTATGAGAACATTATTGATAGCAACAAATTTAAAGTTGCCCACTTTAATAAAAAATTAATGTAAAAGATATTTTTACAAAATAAGAAATAAGCATCAGGATATTATTATCCTTACTGCTTCACAGACAGGATATAAAAGAATTATGTAATGAGGAGAGCTTGAGTTTAAAAAATAGAAAAATAAGTCTTAAGTTTAACAAAAGAAAAAAAAATGTTTTTGTTTTCATTATTAATGGAAATCCTCCTCCTCATGCATTTAAAATGTCTATGCTCGTTTTTATTGTTTTTTTTTCTTTTTTAATTTTGAAAGCATACATATTAAATTCACATGATCATAATATAGAAATTTTAATATAAATTTTCTTTATTTACAACGTAATTTTCAAAAGTATTATCCTTTTTATATTATTACATTTTTCTGTTTCGGAATTTAATATTAGAATAAAGAATAATAAAATTTTAAAGCTGTTTAGATTTTATTCAGTAGGTATTTAAGAATTTTTGGAGATTTTAATTTTAATTAAAAAATTTTTTTTTTTAGAAACGCAAAATATTTCCTTACAAATAAAAATGGAATATTTTATTTTTTACGTTACGTCTTTCAAATTTACAGATTTGAATTATCTCAGGTATTAAAATCGCAATAAATTTCAATAAAAGCTTGTAAAGACTAAAAATCTTTAGAAAAAAAACTTACAATTATACAATTATAATAGCTTCTGTAATTAAAATCACGCAAACAATATTGAAATCATTAGGTTTGTATTGCATTTTAGTTATTCAGAGTTAACAAGCAGAATATTGAACTTTTAACAAATGTTAAGTTCAATATATGTAATTGTTTTAATTTTTATAAATAATGCTACAAATAAAGTGTAAGTAAGAACTTAAAGCTTTTAAAATATATAACACGAAATTTAGTAAATTTAAAAAAAAACTTAAATTAAAAATTCAATTATGTAGAATAAAATAAATATTTTAAAATGAATGGCATTAATTTTGTATAGAATGTATATATAAAAATCAATATAGTGACACTTACCTCAGATCCTCTTGACCATGCTGCCACAATAGCATTACACGCTAATGGTAACGCATATGGTTTATAACATTGTCTACCTTGTTCTCTTGCCATTTGTTCTAAATCCGTAGAACTACCCAGGCATTCATATAGCATTATATGTTGTAAATACTGTAAACTATTTGCTGAATCAATAACTGGCTCATACTACAACATTACATGATGAGAATTTCCAAAATAATTGTTGCAATCCCAATTAAATTAAAAAAAAAGTTAAAAACAAAGAAAAAATTTGAATTTACTTTAGTATTCAAGATTATACTTTTATCTTTTATATTACTTACTTAAGTAATATAAAATATATATATAAATTATATCTTTTTAATTCTAAAAAGATATAATCTTCAACATATAAAACAAATGAATTAAAAGAAAATAATTTAACAATATTTAGAAAACTTATATGAGCTTAAAGGATATAACGTTAAAAAGTATGAAAGATAGGTAAAATTAAACTACCATAGAATTCTTAAAATTTTAATTTTTCAATTTTACTTCAATGGCTTTGTTAACTTTTTACTTCTTTTCTTCAACTCTAACTTCCCTTCTTCTCTATAAAAATAATAAAACTTCCAATAAAAAATTAAAGAATCTATAGAAAAAAAAAGACTATTCTTATTCGCATATTATAGTATGTATATTTGCAAAATGATAACAAGGTCCTATTCCTTAAATTGTATAAAAATATGCAAAAAAATTTATAAAAATTAAAAAAAAAAATCTCTTTTCTTAAGAACGTACTTTTACCGATTTCAAAATTTTTCCTGATAAAAATATAAGTGAAAATAAATTTATAAAAAAGGGTATAGGTACCTAATAAGAATCTACCTTTTCTGCTTCTGTAACATAGCTAACGTATGTATCTATTAAAGAAAAATTGTGTTTCTTTCTTATTTTCGGAATTATTTTATTTTAAATTCAAAATTATTTTAAAAAATATACAACTACCCTAATCAAATATAAATATAACTAGGATAATAACTAAGAAAAGTAACTACAAGATGAGTAAAACGTGAACAGAAGAAAGCAATCTAAATAACTTTAAAAAGATCCTTTCAAAATAAAATATACCATTAAAAGATTTACGAAAAAAAAAGAAAAGAAAACTACAATAAGAAAAAAGAATGGGGATTTTGAATAAAATATTTTATGTACTTAATTTTCTTTATCGTATTCTATTTTAATTTTATTTTTTTTTCTGCTTTTCGTTTTTGGCAAATTTTCTTTATTATGTAAATTGACCAGGTGATATATTTTATTACCTTTTCTCCTCCAATATTTGCTTTATTTTTTTTTCTGTTCTGTTTTTTTCTTGATATATGAAGAGAAGAACTTGCTAAGATTAATGTACTTACAAAGGAAAAAGGACACAATTTTGAAATTTATGTAATATGTAACGTATTACGTACATAGAATAAAAATAGAAAAAAAAACGGCTTGAAATTTTAATATGAATTCTTTTGTTGATTCTCTGAAGTTCCTTTTTTAAAGACCGCTTTGCATACAATAAGGAACGTTATGTAATGGCACCAAAATATTTCTGCTGTCGACGTTTTGATAGAATGGTACACCTACATAATAAAGAAGCGTAAATGAACTACTTTTAGAAATATGTTGGTCTGTTTAATTAGCCGTCGGCCTGTTTGTGCGTACGTCTATTTCCAAGTTGGGCTGAACCTATTTTCATGAAAATTTATTTTATGTAAATATGTTTACTAAAAGCTTTCTACCGTACTTAAAATTTAAAGGAAGTCTTACTGGTTTTCGAATTTGATGTGAAAATATATTAAATTTTTTTAGATAAAATAAAGGGTTGCTTTCATTCCATATACATATTTATAAAATACCTCCTTTTCTATTTTGAGAAAAAATTTAAAATTATATAGACATATATTTAAACTGCTAAATAATAGCATAAAAAAGGTTTAAAGAAGTATCTCAAATTACAGAAGAGAATCGAATCTTTTCATTCAAGCAAATAATAAACTCTTTTTTTAGTACTTTTCCAAAATTTTTTTGAAAAAAAGTGAAGATACACCCGTTCAAATTTACCGTTATCTAAAGTCCTTTTTTTCCAAATTTTTGATGTCGTTTTTCTTCTAGACCCCAGCCTGTAGAAGCTTGAAATTTTAGGAGCTTTTAGAAATTAACAAATAGTTAATTTTGTTAGAAGAAATTTTTTTTCCATTTCCACCCCCTCTCAAGTTATCGTCCCTTGAAATTTGTAAAATTTGAATTTTTGACACCTTATATTTCCGATACCGCAAGTTTTTTCAAATTTCTGTAAACGCAAAAAGCTAACGGTAAATTTCATGACATTAAAAAATATAATTATTTTTCTGAACTCACACAATTAACCCTTAAAATCGAGCATTATGTTAACCCCACTTTATATTAATTTTTTCTTTATTTCAAAGACTGCATAAATCGTTCATCCTTAATATATGCAGAAATAGATTCGTTTATGAATGAAAATAATTTTAATAGTGTGGTGGATATACATAGACTGTATTTAAAAGCAGTATTTTCACTTGTTGAAGGGAAAAGTGCTACAATATAAAACAGCATATTTTTATAACGGGAAGAAAAAATGGAAGAAGCATTAACATATCAGTTGAAAAATAATTATATCGATTTAGAAAAAAATTTCTTGCAATAAAATTATTAATATCTAAAAGCTGTTAAAATTTCAGGCTCGTACATATTATTATCGTCTAGAAGAAAATTTTCAATAAGAATAACAGTAAATTTTAACGGCAATTTTGTTGTTTTACGTTAAAATTTAACTATTGTAGGCTGTGGTAGAATATGGCAACAACCATTTTGGTTGCAAACTGCGTTTAAAAAAAAATTAAAAAAATTTTATTGTTTCGCTGCAATAAATAGTTGAAAAATGGAATTTTAAGGGTTTTAGGAGACTATAACTTTTATAAGAGGAAGACAGCTAAAAATTTTCTACGAAAATAAATTTCTAGTAAAAATCTATGTACGTATTAAATTTCACCTTTCTATCTTCAAGGATGTAGGTGTAGACGTTTTGTAAACAGACACAGAAACAGACGGACAGAGTGAAACTAAAAAGTAATTTTCTATAAAATTTTTTTTGTAAAAGAGCTAAAAATTAATAACTTTTTATGGGAAATTTAAAGTAGTAAAAAAAAGTTTTACATAATAATTTCATTAATATACATAATGTTATTGTTGATTACTAATTTTTAAAAAGAGGTAACACCAAATCACTTAGAACAATAATCTTTGATTAAATTTGTTCTCTTAGAAATGAAAGATACATTCATCGCTACCAGCAAGACAAAACATCTAAAGTCGTTTTGGCTTACTTTTCAGAATGGCGAAAAGAAGGTTCAATTCAATGCTGCGTCAATTCTATCAGGGTTAGAGAAGTTCTGAATACACGTAATGAAAGTAAATGGAAGACTGCTTTTCTGGGTTAAGGAACCGTTTCCTTAGCTTTACTGGTTTTCGTTGAATTAAAGATTTAAGAATTTAAGATGTTATGTCAAAATTGGTTGTTGAAATTTTTTTGACTTAAGATGTTTTTACGTGACTTAAGATGTTTTTTCCTTTTTTGTTTTGTAATTTTTTGAATTCTTAAGTCGATTTAAGATGTTTTTACTTTGCATTTTTGATTTTTTTTAAGACTAAAGATGATTTTACCAGCAATTTCCATACTTTTATTACAAATTTTGTCTCATACTTTATACTAAGAAAATGTTTAATATTTTTAATAAAAAGTAATGTACATTAAGTTTTTTTTTCTTTATTTAAATAAAAAAATATACATCGTATCTTATATTTTTTGAAATTTTCAAGAATTTTAAACCAAGTTTTATTCAAACTTATGTAAATAGTTAAAGGTTCGTATATACCTAACAAAATTGTGTATAACTTAAATGATATGTTGTAAGTGCTTGAATCATTGTGTATACTTCAACGTTCGTGGTGTATTACTTGCATATGCATGTACATTACAATACGCATTAAACTTGCGTATAAGAATCAGCATACATTCATATATTCGCATTAGCATTTTATTATACTTTCTTTTGTTTTTTTTATACCTACTTAGTTTTGTAAACGTTGTCTTAAAAGATATTGAATTAAATTTTGTTGTCCGTTTGTATATAGAGTCTACATACATATTCAAACAAACAATAGTGAAAAATGAATAAATTTTAGTTTATTTTAATAAATTGCCAGTCTAAACTTCCAAAAAATAAAACCTATTAATGCTTGTTAGAAGGCGAGAATGTGAAATTCCCTGATTTTGCATATGTAACTACGGAGTGATGATTAAATGATTATATTTTAAATAATTTATGTAAACAAATTACCTATTTCAGTATTAAGAACACAAACAGTTACTCAAGTATTAGAAAATTGTTGCATGAAATACAGGTATCCTTTGTATAACGCGATAGTTACTTTCCAGGGAAATTCCGGGTTATGTGATTCGCGTTATATAAGACTTAGTTTTCATATAAATTTGAAAGTTATGTTCCAATAAGATTTTTTACAAAATAAAATACATATTTAATAAGAAACAACATATATTTAAACTCAAAACTAAAATTCAGATTTTGTTATAAAACTAAAACCATAAAAATAAAAATAATAAAACAAACTGAAAAAAACTAAAAGTTTATTAACAAACTCCATTATAATTAATCTGTTTCGCTGTCTTCAAACATCCTATTTCGTGAAAGTTGTGAGACTTGTGGGCGTGTAATAACATCATCAGAAGATATTTCTTCAACATAGTTTTCGTTCTTGGATAAAAAACGAGCTGTGGAACCTTGTGATCTTTCGATGGTTTTTCTACTTCGCGTTATAAAAGTCCAAATTTCGCGTTGTACTGAAACCTTTTTTTTTTAAACCGCGTTATATTGAAAACGCGTTACATAAGTACCGCGTTGTACAAGGGATACCTGTATAAACCAATCTAGATGTGCCTGGTTTTTAACACTTACGACCCTAGGGTTTTTTTGTTTTAATTTGAAGATACTTTGTGTGAATAACGAACTTACCTCTTCCTTAAGAAATGCATGGAAATTTTAAATGTTCAAAAGCAAATTATTTACTATCTAAGTTTTATTTTAACAGTATTGTTTTAACAAGAAACTTTCAGT